TAGATGAGCTGTGCACTGACTGGTTGGTTTGCAATAGGTGAAGCTGCTGAGAAAAGACATCATAGCAACAAGCACTCACTCACTGAAACATCAAATTGTTGACACGGTAGGGTGACCAGACATCCTCTTTTTCCCGGACATGTCCTCCTTTTCATACCTAAAAAATGTCCGGGGGGAATTTTAGAATTGTCCGGGATTTTTGTTGACTACAGTGTAGCGGAACCGTGCCATCAGCTCCCGGGCTGGTCAGGGAACTCCAGCGGATGGGGGAGGGAGCCAGCGGGAAACGGGGCGACCAAACCCGATCTTGTGATGGTAGCCGCAGCCCCGTGCTACCGAAGCATACTGTCATCGGGTCGGTTCGCTTGCTCCGTCCCCGGCTGCCTCAGGACCCGGACCAGTCCTGGAGCTGATGGCTCGGTTCGAATGCCCGGTCTGGTCCAGTCCTGCTTTGAGCTGTCCAAGATTTTCAAAGCTGTCTTTGTTAAAATGCTTAGAGCAAATGAACAGCTGAGCATCAAACTTTGCAGGGATCTTCTGAAACACAAAACAAAAATCCATGCCTGTCGAGTCTTCGGATCCTTGGGAAGACTGTGAAAATATTCCCCTTTCTCTGTTCAGCCAGGAACACTGCATTTACGCCAGTGGTTCTGGCTCATTTTTAATAGAGAAACTGCCTGCTTTGTAATTCTTGTAGAAGTAAACCCAGCTGTAGGCTAAACAGCTAAACCGGTGTTTTACATCTACCTCAATTCATGTTCTTAGGCCAGTGAGCCAGTGGGCTGGTCTGTATTTAAATTTCTTGGCAGGACAAAAGTACAGGCTAGAACCACATAAGGCAACATCCCAGAATTGACATCAATTCAGTGCTTAGTGTGGAGTCACCTGTTTTATTGTGGAAGTTTAGAATTGTAAGATTTGCAGAGAAAGGAGGTGTCGATGGGGCTTGAACTCTGTACGTCCATTTCACCCACTGAACTATCGTTATTCATCTATGACAATGTAAACTCGGTTTTGCATTCTATGATCCCTTTAAAGTCTATGTAAAGGCGCAAAGATTATTCTCTCTGCCATACATCTATAAGAAACTGGCTGTCATTTCCAATATCTCATAGATAACCAGGGGATGGCGTCTGATTATACAAATTCTAAATACTATCATAATGTTTAAAGCTATCAGCAACGGTTACATGAGGACTATTAGTTAGATGTAACCATGCCAAGGTTGCCAATATTGCTGGGCATGGTTTTGATGTATACTGACTAATATCATGTGGTTACCAACCAAGAGTCTAATCAGCAAGTCGGAAATTTAACAAATGTAGAGTACAATACAAAGTTTAAAATATTTTTGAGGATAAAAAGATCCTGTTCAAATGAACCGTGTAAGGGGGACCTAGCAGGAGATTTCATTCATTTCCATTCCCGTATAGAAATCCCCAATCAAATGTTCATCTAAGGGGATTACAGAGTTGATCTGTGGACAGGTACGTATATGATTTTTAACCCTTAAGTGCTGGCAATGAATATGCATCAGGTTCCTTCAAATGAAAATGAAGATTCAATTCAGTATATTTGTATAGCGCCAATTCACAACACAAGTCATCTCAAGGCACTTTACAGTTCAACCAGATCATACAGTCAAATTGATTCAAAGTTTTCTATCTAAGGAAAACCAGTTGATTGCATCGACTCTGACTCAAATGTAATCCTTCACACTAAGCATGCTTGTAGTGACAGTGGAGAGGAAAAACTCCCTTTTAACAGGAAGGAACCTCCAGCAGAACCAGACTCCGTGTGAGCAGCCATCTGCCGAGGCCGACTGGGGTTCAAGGAGACAGAAGCAGAGATACAAAAAGCAGCTGTAAAAGGCAGCCCCATCCAGGTAACACACAGCCAGGCAGACGAGCACCGAGCCAACTCCCATGTCAGAGGACGAAGAGAGCACATCCAGTCAGTCACGGTCAGAGAAACAGGGCTACACTGGAAAACAGGCCAATCTCCAGTATCTATAAACAAGGGTGTTGATGGAAGCAGCACAGCTGATATTTCACAGCCAAACAGGAACAGACGAGGCAAAGCTACTATGAGAAAAAGCAGAGAGAGCAGAATGTTAGAAATTGAACTAACAGATTCTGTAGAGTAGGAGAATAGAGAGAGAATGAAGCAGGATGATTAAATTGGGTTCAATCACCAATTGAAATGATGGCAATGAAGTTCTCTCAGGAGAATGGTCTTTCACAATAACTATATTTGTATATTTTCACAGCCTCATTTCATAAGTGTAAAAGTTACAAATAATTGTACAATCTAAAAGAGTAATAACTCAAGATAAAGGTAAAAATGCTGTGCTTTAGACTTTTAAGGTTTTTACTAAACCTAGCTGAGCTGTTTATTCCTTTGAGTATACAACTGAGTCATGTTAGTAGGAGTGTAAAGCAATAAACAGCAATGACAGACAACATAAGCATCATATCTTTATTTGCAAGTACCCTTTTTGAAATCTTTCAACATTTATGGAATAAAAGGCATCATCATTATCATTTCCCATTTAGTTTGATTTGTAATCAAGGGCGCCACCAGCCCCCTCACTGGCCAGTGTAAATTGTAGTAGCATCGGTTTAGCGTTTCACCACACTGTAGTCCTCCTGCTCTCCTCCTCCCCTACCCGACATTTCCCTGCGCATGCGCAAATGAGCTACCGGTATAGATGCGCTCAGAACTACGGCTCAGCCCGTCCCCGCTTTAACTGTGAGAAAGCGTATAAAACTAACAGTAAGTAAATAAGTCAAATCATTTGTTTGTGAAAGAAAAGGGGGATATGTGAGCTGTAACATTATACTGTTAAAGCAGCTTTTAGCGTGTTTTTGACAGTTATGTAGCTAACTGGATGAGTTGGTGATTGTCTATGGCTTGAAGAGAAAATCCACAGACATCCCTTCTTATTTTAAGAAGAGAATTACAGCAGAAGCAGAGAAAGAGATGACAGGGGAGCAACAGATAACCAGTGAGGAGGAGCAGGAGGATGAGGAGAAGAGAGAGGAGAAGGAGGAGGAGCAGGAGGATGAGGAGAAGAGAGAGGAGAAGGAGGAGGAGCAGGAGGATGAGGAGAAGAGAGAGGAGAAGGAGGAGGAGCAGGAGGATGAGGAGAAGAGAGAGGAGAAGGAGGAGGAGCAGGAGGATGAGGAGAAGAGAGAGGAGGAGAAGGAGGAGGAGCAGGAGGATGAGGAGAAGAGAGAGGAGAAGGAGGAGGAGCAGGAGGATGAGGAGAAGAGAGAGGAGGAGGAGGAGGAGGATGGAGGAGAAGAGAGAAGGAGGAGGAGGAGAAAGAAGGAGGAAGGAGGAGGATGAGGAGAAGAGAGAGGAGAAGAAGGAGCTGGAGGAGAGAAACAGATTAACCAGCATGATGAGGACACAGAGCCAGCATTAGTAAAGAGCAGTGATGAGGAAAAGCATCAAACAGGAGCAGACCAGGGACAGCAGCACCTTTGATGACAGAAGCATGGCAGAACTCAGTGAAAGCAGGTGTTTCACCGATTCCTGGACCGGCAGTTATTTTTTGTTTTCAAGAAATGAATAAATGTACAACTTATTTCAAATATAAATAAAACACAACTATTGTTCAACTCAAAATGTTAAATGGTCTATGTCTGTGCACATTAGATCAGTAGTAGCATTAATAATCACACAATAAGCCATAAAGAGTAGGTGTTTATTTAAATCTTTATGATAGTTTTCCACAGGCAGTTTTACCACAGCAGTATAGAATAAAACCCTGAAATTATGTTTCTGTGTGCCACCCCAAGAATTTAAGAGCCCCCATCTGGCCACCCCTATGTTTAATTTTTAATGGCGCTCCTGTTTGTTATGACATTTTCAAGATAAAGAAAGTAAGACTCACTTGATTGTTTGTTTTCTAGATCTCTAAATACGACTACTGGTATGCCTACCTGCCTAATGTATTAAGTACTTTTGCTTTAGAAATTATATTACGAGGTCTTATCTTTGAAGATTCTGTTTAACAACAAGTTCACTTCATCATTTCCCTTTTCCTGACTGTAGGACACAATAACAATCATATTAGTTGAAGTTGTAATTGTGCTACAATAATTTTAGCAGCAAAGCTTTTCTATCTAAGGCCATCTGGTGAAGACCAATGATCGCTGTCAATGTCTACCAACTGATGGTGTATAGGTTGTTTATTTACCACTGGGTGATCAGAAACAGAGTTGAAAACTAGAAATAGAAAAAGACTTCTTTACTAGCTCATCACTCCAAGGTGTGTGGTTGTGCTCTACTTTACAGTCAGTGAATTGGTGATTTGATCTCAAGCTCCGAATTACCTCTGAATATAGAGGTCAACTCACTGGCCTCCGTCATATGACTAAAAAGCCTATACAATAACATTTTTACGAGCGAAGTTCAAACTTAAACTTTTTTATGTTAGAAACAACTGGATTGGTTGTTACGAAACTATATAGCAATGCGTATAAATGAAATCGCAGATATATTAAAATAACATGCGTCCATAGCTAGCTATGTTTTAATCTGAAAAAGGTTACCCAGTTTTTTCATACTATATACAATGCTAGCCAAAACCCATCTAACCTACTAGTCTCTTGGTATAATTATTGTTCAATTGTGATTGGCCACAAAAAGTTGCATGATATGACGTCACAAGCAAAACCCCGCCCATTTAGCTCATTTTCTCGACAACCCATTGGTTGAAGGCAGGAGCTGTACCACGTGACTCCCAGGGGGGACCTGGGTAGCCACGCCCCCAGCTAGCTATGCCTCATAGAATGAAGAAATTCAATTAGCAGGTTATATGTAACATCAAATCCTGAATCTAGACTATGAAACACACCATGTGAACAAGATGGGGTCATGCTGGCTACAAATGCGACAGAGTAAAAAGTTATAGAGTTTTGCAGGATGAGAAGTCTCCTATTGGTCAGCTTGTAAGTATGCAAATGAGGCTCCTACGTCATATCCGGAACTTGAGCGCCATTTTTTTTTTCTCAACAGGGGGAAGAAAGGGGACAAAAGCTAAACCAAAAATAACTTATCTTTAGGACTCCGTGCGTAATAATCACAGTACACAGTAAACTCTAGTTCCCGATAAGAGGCGGCATGGGCACAGAGGAGATGCTGCTCCGGTGACCGTCGGTTTGCAGAGCCTGTAGAGCAGACGCAGTTCACCGACACACATCATCTGCAGGCCGGTTGAAGTGGAGCACCGTGGCTCCGCCAGAGGAGGCACAGCGACGTTAATCTGCACCGAAAATATCAACGAGGTGAATATGTGTGAGGAGAGGCTGTGTGTTTGCAGGAGTAGGAAGATGCGCTGTGAGCTGGCGTGTTCTCCAGCACCACGCTGCCAGCCTCACTGTGGCTAGACTGTCTGCAGAGGGAAGGGACGGGCTTTAGGAAGCCATAGATTACTAAAAACAACTATTTAGCTAAATAACATGCTGAAAAACCAGCTGTTGCACGGTGATTATTTTTAACGCATTTTAAATTAAAGAAAAATTTTAAAATGATTTAAATCGTTGTGCAACAGTTTTAAGTCTATTGTTACTATGATTTTATAATATCTGCCTTTTATTCATCTTTATGTTTTAGTGTTTGATCTAATTTATTTCTGTTGATGCAGTTTCATGTTAGCTTTAAAATTGATTGATTTAATTAGAAAATACACTGTTATCATAATGATTCATTAACCTTTTAAGATACTCTTATGGATCTGGAAGAAGGTTCATATAAGGATAGATTGAATTACAAAACATAATTACATATTAGTTATTTGTGGCTTTAATTCATTAGTGATAGGCATGTTAATCTGTACAATTAATGCAAGCATGCATTCATCTCAAAATGTATTACTGTGAATTATACTGTTTAGCGTTATTTTACGAATTCTGCAAAGTGACGTGCTGTTTTACTGTTTGATAAATAAAAATAAACCCCAGATTGAGAGAGACAACTGCACAATAACCTTTTTTTTGTTACATATTATATGTTTTTGATTATTCCAAATATTAACTAGTAAGTCGGTATTCGGATATATTTATGCGTGTTGAAAAAAATTTTCTTTCTTGGATAGAAGTAGTAAATCTGAGCTGCTTCTTTAAATTCGGTTTGGGATTAATAAAGCATTTTTGAATTTGAATTGTAATATGCTGGTAATAAGCAGAGGCATTATTTTTCACATAAATGTCTGTTTTAAATATAGCATTTAAAAATCCAGTTTCTCATAAATGCTTAATACTATATAAGCTCATTTATAGCTGCCACTAACAACTAATTTTCTGACTAATCTTTTGACAAATTTCTAATCTATAATAGAATTTAAAATTTATTTGATAAATTAATTTAATCAATTCAGATTAACCTGCCGCAGCCATTTCCGTATCAAGCTTAAAACCAGAACCAGCAGTAACAGAAGCTCGTGGCAGGAGAGAAAATGGGAGCCAATTCGCTAGCGGTGTGCGCACAGCAAAACTAGTGCTGTGGAGCGGAATTACCTGAACTCAGATGAGCTTTTGCCTCAGACCAAAATAATTAGGCGATACAAAGGCTGACCAAAACATTTTTTTTTTTTTTTTTAATAGTCATCGATTATAAAAAAAAAAAAAAAAAAAAAGTGTAGATGAATTTCCATGGTTGATTACGTCAAATAGTCGCAGCGGCACTAGGCTCAATAAAGATGCATTAAATACACTAATGTATCAGGATCAGCCAGCCAGCTCAGTATTAACATTAGAATAAAATCCGGCGGCACTGCAAAGAGTCGCACCACAGTTGTCCCACGCTTTTTGAATAACTAAATCATCTTCTTAAAAGAACCGTAAACATTTTAACACTTTCTTAGCAGATTTTGTTTTGCTGAACTGAAGCCTTGAACACAAAAACAGCTGAAGCCACAAAATGCCCTTGGGATCACAATGTAGGGCAGAGACCCCTTTCTTGACTACAAGTCAAGCAGCAAAAAAATATGTGACATGTAGTTTGTACCGGTGTAGGTACCAGACCTGCTAAGACGGTCAGATCTGCCCGGGGCCCTGGCCCTTATGACGTCATTATATGGCAACTCCACTCGGACAAACTGTATTGCACCCATTTCTTAAGAATCAATTCTCTTTAGGAGTCTCAACATATTATTACCAATATTTGGTATTATTTTAACTTTTATTGGTGATCTAAAGCAGCCGAAAGTAGGAAACAATAATTCTAACTCTTGAAAGAAAGAACTGCGTTGTAAGACTGAGCTCTGCCATTTAACAAGATGCAAAAAAAAATGTTTAGCTTATTTTTATTCTTTTTATTAAGATCTAAAGACAAGAAGGGCAAATGGAACATCTCAAAAAACGACTTTCGTAACTGACGAGCTAAAAGAGGCTAACATGTTAGCTACTGAGCACAGCTAGCCACAGCGCTACCCAGCTCTCCCCCTTTAAGTCATGGTCTTGCAGTTACTTTGTTCACCATAAACATATTTTTTTCAGTTTTGTTATCGATCAGGTAAAACTTCATCGGTCATTAGAAACGCTAATCCTACAGATGCCCCCGATTCGGCACACGGACGCTGCGCAATATTATTATCGTTGTCTGGGCAACCACAATGTTTTACATCCTGTGGCAACGTTCAGCTAATTCTGTAGCGTAACATCACTGGCATGCGCAGGACCTGAGCAGATCTGGTACCTACACGGCGCACGTTAATGGGGGGCATGCACGCGTGAAAACACACACACACACACACACACACACACACACACAATTCAATGCACTAGCCATATTATAGTATGATATAGACGACTTTCAGCTAACAGCCGATTGAGAGAATTTGGCAAGAAAGATGAGCTACATTTATTTACAGACTGTACCTCGCGGCTAGTTTTACTACACTATAGCTTAAGCTGATAGTAGGTAAATACTTTTTAAAGTGAACTTCTGATCATATAGCGCGCATGACCCTACACGCAGCCGACCTGGGTTCGAGTCTGGCCTGTGGTCCTTTGCCGCATGTCTCTCCCCCTCTCTCATGCCCTCTTTCACGTCAGCCTACTGTCGAAAAGACGAGCCACTAGTGCCGTTAAACTAAAAAAAAAAAAAGAAAAAATATTTGACTACAATTTCTGGCTGCTGATCTCTAGCTACTTCTATTAATGATAAACAAACAGATTCTAACTAAAGTGCTCCAGACACATGTAATGACCTCTGCTCTATAAACAAACTCCATTGTTAAGCCTGCTGTTCCAGTTAAAGGGCAAGTGAATATGCAGTTAAGCCTGTTACTAGTATTTTTGCTCTGTTCTGACATGTATACAGTACCTATCATAGATATTGACTTCATACGGTTTGTTAAAGGGTAACAGCATTGACATTAGTTTTAAAATGGATGAGCAGATCTCAGCAGACGAGAAGTATGTACCCCCCCCCCCCCCCTTTTTCTTTTTCCTCTCAATGTGAAACAGTTGGGGGAGGGGTTTCTATTGACCGCAAGTGGAAGTTGGAGTTTTTCAAAATAAGATATTGTTGAAAATGAAATACTCCACCAAATTTTTTTTCTACCTTTTATAAACTTCATTATTAAATAATTTACTCTTAGCATTAACGTTATAGTGGTGGATGTTTGTTTTCCGGGTGGATCATCAAAATAAGTTATCCTACTAATTGTCAATAATTTTGGTGATGTGTTTACATAACGCCATCCTATGTGCTCGTTCCTATTTCCACTGGTAAGTTTGACATAGTGGAAAAATTGCAAAACTTCTTTTGGAAAGATACAAACGGCAACTTTGAAATAGAGCGTGCAAAAGGAGAAATGGGCTCTCGCATGTGTTTAATACACGTTCCCTCTTGGGAACGTCTATGGTTGTGCATGTGCATTTTCTATTTAAAGTTGTAGGGAAGCGGCTGTTCCAACCATTGCAGTTCTGAATTCTCCCGAGTGGTGCCTGACTTTACACGAGTGAATAAAGAGAATGTGATTGGTTGATTATCAAGGGGGCGGGATTGTTGTAACGGAAGGTTTGCATGCATGTTTGGTTGTGGCCGGTTTGTCGGAAGCATCTTGCTAACCAGTTAGCAACTTATTGCTAGTAGGTTCCCAATGGGAAATGACATTGGGACCAAGTAGCTCTTAGCAACGACACTGTCAAGGAGCACTATGGACAGCGGAAATATGCAAAAGGGGGAGAGTTTAGTGTCAGAGGCTGTGGAAGAATCTCCTCCGTCATACATTTTTTTATTTAGAGGAGGAAAGCGGGGACAAACGTGTTGTGGAAGAGGCGCCAGGGCAGCAGAAGCCTGGTTTGGTGTAGAAGGCTTACAGCCGAACATGTTTGAGCCCTTGCCTCGCAACGCTGCCAGTTCTGTTAGCTCTACGCCTGCCGAAGACACAGACGTCCATCCCTGTGAACACTGGGACATAACTCAATGTTAAAGTATATGGTTCTTATTTCTTACTTTGACCGTTGCGTATGGCCTGCATAAGATGACAAAAATAACCCCACAGATTTTAAGACGGGATTTAAAAAAAAAATAGAAATTTTCTAACTTTTGGTCTGGTAAAGAGTGCATTTATATACACGTTTAAGCCAGAATGATTTGACATTTGAATACAACTTCCCTGTGACATTTAAAGTGGCGAGGAGGGGTCTTTTTCGAAAATTTGTGAAAAACCTCCACTATACCTTTAACATTCATGTAACAAATTAGTTTTAGTACTTTGAATACTGTCTATAGTGCTCGACTGCAGCTGGAGGGAGGCTTTGTGGAACCCAGTGCGCTGGAGCCATATCACTTAGAGCCGCTTACCTCACTCTGTAATACCCAAAGCTGGTGCTGGTTAGGTGGAGCACAGGATAACTCGCCACAGAGGTGTGTGTCTGAGTAAGTTGTATTTTTACCCCAACACAGGACTATGATTACGAAAGTCTGTAGGCGTAGACGTTTACCAGCATTTTCCATTTGAATAATAAAAATGAACTGTAATAGCCACTGTTCAATAAATAAGTGCAGCACTAAGATGGTTTAAGAGGCATAACAATGTAAAAAATGTGCAGCAACATGAAATAGGACCACATAGACCCAGTTTAACAGGAAAAAAAGTTGAATTGTAGGACTAATAATAAATTGAAATACTTTAAAGATGGCCACAGGTTTGCTTACCCTCAGTAGGTGGCGCATGTGTCCTCACCCTCTCTGTCTCCAACCCTCTATTGGACTGTTTCAGTCTGTTGCCAAGTGCAACAATGCTAATTCTAACCTTTATCCACGTTAGTGTGGCCATTAAACCTCTTTGCTTTATTAAGTTGTTGGTGACTTTGGTGCTATGTGCAGTTTAGTGTCTTTACTGAGTAGTGAGTGGGCCAACCCCTCCCTCCCCCAAAATACTGCAGCCTGTTTCTGCAGGCAGAGTGAGAAGAGCTACCGGTACTCTCCTGTTTCCCCATAGCTTCCACTGATCTCCCTGAATTAATAAGTAAAATGCAAATATAATATATTGTAAAAAATCTTTAACCTGTTGCAGTAAAATAGATCCTCCCTGCATTTAATTAACACATAACTTTCACTAACATCCAGGGGGAAGGACATGGAAGCTGTGGAGAGTTTCAAATACCTGGATGTTCATGTCAATAACAAACTGGACTCATAGCAGACGCCCTGAATAAGATGGGCCAGAGCTGCCTGAACCTCCTAAGGACGCTGAGGTCCTTAGGAGGTGTGT